GTGGGTGGTGGTCCTAGAACTTCCACCATCACTGGCTTGCATGAACACGTTCAAATATAAATAAAAATAAAATAAACGTCAAAGAAAGCGGCGAGAGCATGTACACACTACACAAGGAGGAGGAGGAGGAGGAGGAGGAGGAGACATTTTATTGGGATGCGTTGAAGTCAGAAGTTCTCTTTATGAAAATCGAACTTGGTGGACGTTTTGTGAGAAAAGTCGGAGGCCAACTGCCGAAGCTCCTTCGTTGGTGCTGGTGCTCCACAGTAGAAAACTCCTACAATATCGCAAATAAACCATTCCCACCATAAGCTTAACTTATTTAATTAATAATAAAGATATGCATGTGGTGATTACTGATCTAATAAAATTAATTAAAATGCAAAATTAATAGTAAAGATTATCTATATATATATATATAGCTTTAGTTAATTATTGTTTTATATATCTTATTTTATAAGAAAATAAGTGAGTAGTGAGTAGTGGATGGAGTATGGAGGAATTAATTAAGCAGTAAATTAACAAACTGACCAACTCGAGCATTTTGGTGGTTGAGGGCGATGCGCTTGTAGACATTACGCCAGTTAGGCTTGGCAAAGTGGGACTTGACACGGGTACCAGACACCACATCGACCCCATTCTTGGCGTGATTAAGGGACTGAAGCATGGCGATGAGGGCGGACCTGGCGTCGCCTTCTTCATAGACGCTGGTGCAGTAGTTGTGCAGCTCGATGACTCCCTTTTGGTCCATCTCCGCTACCTCGTTCATCACCCCTTTGAACCAGTCGAATGAACCCTGCTCCCTGGTGACCCAGTAGAAGTAGGCCCTAGTCGTCTTAAAACTAGCTTTACTGTTCTTCTTATTTGGATTATGGGTAGCGGCCTCCAATGCTGACTCCTCTTCTTCCATAGCCTTCATGTTGTTTACGATGTCTTTCACTATGCTGATCATAGGCGTTGCCCCAATGCCCAGTCCTACCAGCAGCACCACTTCGTATTTCTTATAATCTTGCGCTGGTGCCCCGTATGGCCCATCGATCAGTACCCTCGGGAAACTGTTTTTCATCAACGTAACAAACACAATCGTCACAAATTAATTAATTATTTCTTTTTTACTACTACTATACGCTCAACTGATGATCTCATCAATACCAACGCGGCCGGCCAATGGGATAAAGAGAAATAAACATGCATATATGTCTTACTTTGGCGCGTTCCCTCCTTGCATGTGATCGGCCCGGAGAAGGCCGCTCTTATCCCCGGTTGGTGGCTGACACACTTGAGAGAAAACTGTTTTGAGCTGCCGTGTCCAGTCGCCAAGAGTTCGAATGTGAACGCTCAGGTAGTCATCTCCGGGAGCCGATGTTATAGAAAATGGATGCCTGTTGCATATATAGATAGCTAGTCATCCATTAATTAATCAATGTACTAAATAAATTTGTTCACATTAGTAATTTGCAGCCAGTCAGGGTGTATCGTATGGTACGCTCGCCAACATATATATATATATATATATATACATGCATACATTGACATTGTAATAGTAGTTTAATTGGCTTGGCAATTCTACTCACCATTCAAAGGGTGAAACTGCAGCACAGTTGACAAACATGTATTGCCCACTCTTGTATTTGAAACCCTGAGGCCTGGACATGTGCAACGCCAGAACATTTCCAGGATAAACAGCAACCTTCAATGTAGAACAATTAATAAAGAAACCCATTAATTTCAGAACAGCAAATTAAGTACAAGGAGGTGATCATCATCAAAATGCGGCACGCATGGCCCTTTAACTAACTTGATTATTATCATTTTACGTACCTTTAGGATTTTAACAGGCTTGATGCTTGATCTGAATGCTCTGATCAACCTTTCACAAACATAGAGGATCACTGGAACCGCCAAATACATCCATGTCTGCCATATATACATGCACGTAGGGGGTATATAATTAATTAAGAAGAAGCTAATTAGCTAGATAATTAAGATATATGGTCATCAACAGACAACAGACATTAATTAACAAAACACATGCAGTAATTATTAATTAATTAAGCGGCTGGTACAAATTAAGATTAAGTAGTAATTAAGTGTGTATTGGAAAAGTACCGTTTTCTTCTCCCATTCCTTGGTGAGATAGAGTTTCATGCCATGGACTATGAGGAGAGCGTAAACAATGACGAACAGATGGTGCGAATACCAGAAGGCATTGAAACCGGTTAGCTTCTTCAAGGGTTTGGGGAGGTTGAGCCTGCCTTTCCTGAACCAAGGGGTGGCTAGTGTGAATGCTATTGCCATTAACACCACCATTATGATCCCAGTTACCCCTTCCACTCCTTTCACAAACCACCAATAGCTGGATGGCTGCTCCTCCCCAAAGTATGGCTCCATTAGCTCATATTTTTCTTCACTTGCAGACATAAGCCTTGGGAAATCGCACGCTAGGTGAGCCCCCGCGTGTATTCCAACACCCACTGCAATTCCCACCGCAACTACCTTTAAACATGCACAAGCACAAGCATTATTAATTAATTAGAACCCTACCACCTACGTACCTATTAATTAATTTTGAATAATTTTGTTAATTAGCTAGCTACGTGTACGTACCTTATGGAAATTTAGATTATCGTCGAAAGGCACTACGACTCCTAATTTGGTCTTGTTCCTCAGCCAGGTAATGGTATTCCGGCAGACCGGTAGCAGTATGAGTGCCATGTTGAACTTGAGCGTCTCAGCTGCACCTTTAGCCATGCAAACACAGTTGCCCATAACTTCATAGGCCGCTTTGTTCCGGTACTGCACGAACTTGTAGGCGAATAGCCCCGACACTATGCCCAGCCACAGCGCCAGTACCCAAACCCTTTGCCAATTGTCCAACAACAAGTAACTAATCTTTCGGGACCATCTTCTCAGTGGGTTGCTGTCTTGGGTGGGCTTAAGTTTCTGGCTCAGCATTTGACTCAGGTTCCGACTCTCTCCTCCCCTTACCGACTGGTTGGGAGCTTGCAACAGTAGCATCTCCAAATTGTGAATCTGCTCTCCATCAAACAAATTAATTATTTAGTGCCCAAGAATCAAACAAAAATTAATTACTAGCTATATATGTATCGACTGGGTTGTTCAGTCGAGCTCATGTTGATACAATCCCATTCAAATATTTATTTATTTTTTTTAAATGGAAATTAAAAACATTACCATTATGTAACCATGATTGTCTGGGTCCAACTCTTCCATAATCAATGCAGCATATTCTTGGGCCTGTTTCTGTATGGTAGATAGCTTGTTTGCAGAAGCGCTGAGACTGATAATCTTCACAAAATAATTAAATAGTACAAGTTAGTTTCTTAATTAATTAATACCCGGGATTTCCTATCTCTTATCATTTAAGTATTTAACCCCTTATCCCCTTTACCTCTCTGACTTCTTCTTCAGTTATTCTGCCATCGGCATCTTTGTCCACCCTGCATTTAATTTGATGATTAATGCCATTTCGTATTAGCTAATCAAGTCCAAATTCTATTAATTAGAAGACACTAATTAGTTGATAATCGTTAGATGACGTTTACATGTCGAAGAAAGTCTGCAGCCTGGAATCAAAGCTCTGATCAGAGATCTGCTCCCAGAACTCCTTGAGTTCGTCCCTGGTAATCGAATCTCCTGTGATGCCCCTCCTCCGGGCCAGCGCATCGAAGAGCTCACCAGCAAACTCCTTCGATTCCTTGTTCATTCCTGTACCCGAAATCACAAAAACCTTAATGAGAAACAATATTATATAGCAAGTCACGAGTCACAGGCATGACCTTTGAGCCAAGCCAACTCGTCCCTGAATTCTTTTGGACATGGAAGAGACCCGTCAGTTACGTACCTATGCACTCCCCGAAGAGGGTTCGAGGGAGAACCCCATTAGTGGAAGCTGTGAGGTCATTGAATCGCTTCTCAACAGCGACCCAACCAGCTGTGCCGTCAGTCTTGCTACTGATGAACTTGAGCCCCTTCAAGGCATGAGCAGCGGCAGATTTCGTCCTGTCGAACCGAGTCGAGGATGGCCGTTTCGTCAACGAAGCAAGCCGCTTCAGCTCCTGTGAGACCTGCTTGATCCTCGAGGAAGCACTCCGCATGACGGACGAACCAAAGGAGGACCTCTTCTCGAGGTTCTTTGCCAGGAGAGTGAGCTCGGGATCTTCGGCATCTGCACCGCCGGCGGGTTTGACGCTGTGAACAGCGACGGAATCGTCGCGGACGTCGAGGGTGATCTCGACGTAGGCGTCATCATCGGGCGCAGCATTGATGCTGTTGCTACTGGTGCGGCCGACCCCGGAGATGGTTCTGGCAGTAGATTCAGGTAGGTTGAAGCGAGCGCTCTTTCGGCCTCGTTTGTTGAGAGGACCACTGTAGGCGGAGGAGCGTTCGCTTCCGACGCTCTCCGTGTCGGAGTGGTGATCGGGCAGGGTGCCTCTGCCATCGTCTGTTCCCATTTTGTGCATACAATTAAGCCAAGGACGTACTGTAATCCGATTCGGCGGGTGAAGATTTGGAGGCCTGGGTGGATGAGTTTGGAAGAAACCGAGAGACAATTATTGAGGTTTGGAAGTATGGGAAGAAGAGATATCAGATATGTTCTTCTTATTCTTCCTTTCTGTTCCTTCACTTTTTTTTTTCTTGCCGACTTTTTGGAGAATGGAGGCTTTATATATATATATATATATAAAGATTGGCGGTCAAACCTACGTCGCATACTAAGAAAATTTCTAATTAATCCTGTAATCATCGTGCAATCCTTCTTTTGCTTTTCAAATGACATAGTCATAATGCATCAACAACCCAATAATGACCTTTTGCCCTTTAGGTGTAGTGGTGTATACATTACCAATTTTGAAACTGTTAATGAGTAAAAGAATTAGAGGAGAGGAGAGGACCGTAAATACCAAATAGAAGAACATGAGTTGTTGTGAAGGTCAGTCAAAGTCGTGTTGGCAAACGAAAGACAACTTTTTCGTCTATTCAAAGGCTGGAAACAGTTTAGAAGTTTCTTTTGTTTTCTCTCGCCCCTCCCCAATCATCTACCGGTTTTGGGCAGATGGCAGTGTTCTCATTTCTCAAGTTGGTCTGGGTCCGGTCCGGTTTAGTTTTCCCATCTCTCTCCAAACTTCTTTATTAATTTTCCGTTGGGAGTGAGAGTAATCGATTGTAGGTTTGACGCCCTCATTGACCATGCGTGTCTGCGCGTTCTCCAATTAATCTCAATCCACCTGACAGGCAGGAGACACAAAAGGGTGGTCTATATTAATTTTGGGAATTGGGATTTGCTCCTAATAAACCAAGCCTTCCAACGATCTCACGGCCACATCTCATCCTGTGTTAAAAACATCTCCGCATGAATAATAAAAACACGGTAAGGATAAATTGTAAGGTCAGTGAGGGGCGATCTGTTTGGAGCAGATCCGGACTCCAATTTTGGAAACTCTTCTTCGGTTCTGTATATGGAGAGGATTAAAGAAACATCATCAACCTGGCCATGTAATAACAGTTGGGATAACAGGTGAGGTGAGGAATGCTCCCGTTGTTGCGCAATCTGATTATTCTCAGTTGGAGGGCGATCTGGTTTCTAGTAGAGTAGTGAGTTAGATTTATCTGCAAGACAGTGGATCAGAGAATTCGGGGTGGTTAATCCGGCGAGGTCGCTTCGATACTTAAGTTAGTATACTGTAATAAGAGCTGAATGCTTGTGAGTTTGAGAGCTTGAGAACTAGAGAATAGAATAATCACGCGTACCTTTGTCTTGAGGTTCCCGTCTTTATATACCGGAGTTGTCGTGGGTCTCACGAAAGAGCTCTGGGATCTCCGGGGTGTGGAGATATGGTTCGTTCCGCTTCCGAAGGAGCACTACGTAGCTAAGGCTTATCGTTTCACTTCCGACTGTGATGGAGCTGGGACAAGTCCTCATCGTGATCTCGGGAGAGTCGGGATCTGTTACCTCATCGTGATATCGAGAGATTCAGAATCTGTTAGAGAGACCTCTAGAGTCGGATGCGTGGCGATTCAGGTTGTTAGCCCCGAGTTGATACTTCGGTTCTTTAGTTCCGAACTGGATTGGATGCCGAGTTGCTTCGATGCCGAGGTGAGTTTAGGCCGAGGTGGCTGAATACCCGAGTTCAAACGCTGCAAACTAGGCTTGCTAGGCTAAGTTGTCATCCCTTAGTCAGGTCATGTCCACGTGTCCTCTTCTCGCTAGGTCGGGCCAAATCACCCTTCATCAATTGCCCCCCACTCCCCGAGCCAGGGGTCTCAACCCGGTGCAGGGAGTTCATGACAAGTCCAGGTGGATTTGGCACGAGGTCTAGGCGGCTTGACAAGTGAATCATTGGTCGGACCTGTTCGGCCGCCCGGCTCAACCAGGAATAACCAGGTCACATCTAAGTTATGCGTGGATGTCACGCCGTTTTATAAACTCCACGGACGTCAAAACACGCGCTAAATCGATTTCAACCTCAGGGGTCGTGCAACCGATTATCCTAGGAGACGTTGGATCATGTTGATCTCGACCGTTGATCCTCGGATACACTGGCTATAAATAGGGGCCAAGGGGCTCATTTCCTTCGCCACAAGTCCGCAGATCCGCAATCTGAGGTCGTGCTCGATTCTTTTAGTTCGGTGTCTTTCCGATGTCACCTTCCTTTCTTCGGTCTTTCTTTTGGTGAGTCCCCCTTTGCTTTTTTTTTTTCGATTTCGTGTCTTTCTTGCATGTCTAGTTTTAGTTTCGATAGTCTCTTAGACAGGAGCGATGAATCCGCTAGAGCCGAGGTGGGTACCTCGGCTCAGGCCGTAGATCCTCGTCCTACCGAGGAGGTTACTTCGGGCCAAGATGAGATCCATGGTCCTCCCGAGGTGAACTCACCTCAACGGGAGCGAGAGGCCTCAGGTAACCTGGCTTCCACCTCACATCGAGGTCGGCTTTTAGATAAATTTGGCCCGTCGACAATGATGGCGGACAGGCTCCTAACCCTAGTAGCCTAGTACAGACTTCGCAACAACCTCGTCTCTAGCATTCCCTTAGGTAACTCCCCTTGGGATCACGGTCACGATGAGATCGCAATCTTCGAGGAGCAGCTCGTAGTTGGTCTTCGCCTTCCACTTCACTCTCTCATAGTCGAGATCATAAAGTTGTTCAATATCACCATAGATCAGTTGCACCCGAATTTCATCCGCAATGTCATAGGGACCATTTCACTTTTCCACGACTACAATCTTCCCCTTGACCTCGACATTTTTTCTTCTATCCTTTCCATCAAGAAGAATTCGTCTTGTGCTCTACCCGAGCACAAGCAAACTTACTATTTGTCACCTCGTCCTGGCTTCAAACTTTTGCACGAGCTCCCGAACAAGGTCCCGGCCTGGAAGATACGCTATTTCGTGGTCTGTAACACTGAGGGTGGCCTTTCCTGACTCATGGGAGGGCAGCCATCCAGGACCCCGGTGTTAGGTTGGACCTGAAGACAAGGGAGGCGCTCCAATCTTGGGCGGAGCTCGGCCTGAAGTTCGAAGACTTCGTGATCAAGGAGAAGCTCCTGCAAGCTGGTTTGAGTCCTGGTATGTCGTTGTTTGCTGTATTTTCTCTCTGTTTTACCTTAGTATTGCTTCTGACAACTCGATTTTGTCGCAGCTATCATGGACATCCCCGCCAACGAACTCTTCGGGAGCATGAAGAAGGGGAAGAAGAAGAGAGCCACCAAGAGGGATCGCGTTGAGCCCCCACCAATAGTCGTTCCAAAGCCTGAGCAGCCATCAACTGCCAATCAACCTCCTATGATAGACCTGGTCGAAGAGGACTCAGGCAAGTCCTCCCCACCCTACGTGCCCGAGGAGGCTACGTCTTCGTAGCCCGTCCCTGCAGTTGTTGCTTCTTCGGGCAGCGACGACGCAGTTTGGAGTATCTTGTCTCCGAAAGTTGGCCTTCTCAAGAGCAAGGCCACGGTATTTGCTGAGGAGGTTGCTAGTTGGGCTGAACTGCCAGTTGCTCATCTCGGAGCCCGAGTGGCTACTCACTGCATGGTGGTAAGTTCTCGGACTTATCATCTTCAATCTGTCTTGTACTTGGATTTTTGCACTGGCGCTTGTTTTCTTCTCTTGGTAGGTGAATTCCACCATCCACGCCTTGGCTTATTAGTCTGAGGTGAACTTGAAGCGGGCCCTCGGAGCCGAGGAGTCTTCCCAGAAGGCTCACGCTGAGCTGAACTTAGCCCGCAACAAAAATAACCAGTTGAAGAATGATGTGCGGGCTAAGAAGGTGTTGCTTACTTTGCTGATGTTGGAGAAGAAGGAGCGCGAGGAGCGTGAGGCAGCACTGAAGAGGGAGCGAGAGGAGCGAGAGGCGGCACTGAAGAGGGAGGTGGAAAACCTCAAGGCTCATGTGAAGGAGCGAACCGTGCTACTTCTTCAAGCAATGGAGGAGGCCAAGGCTAAGGCTGTCAAGGAGTACAAGTCCTCAGCGGAGTACCAGAAAGAGATGGTCGAGGTAGGTGGGGAGAGCTACCGCAAAGGATTCAAACTTAGCAGGTGGCTGACCCGATGTGAGTTCCCCCAGCTCGACCTCAGTGTCATAACCACTTTGAGGATTACAGAGGAGATGGCCGTCGAAGATGCCCAAGATCCGGACTCCGAAGCAGAAAGCGACAGCGACCTGYTCGATGAAGATGAGGAGACCGGTGCTGGMGAGAGCTGCATGGAGAGGATCCTGCCGAATCCTCCAATAAGCATGAAAAACCTTGAAGTGACTAGATGCCTCTTTCCTTGGACCCCCTTCTGTAATACACCGAGCTTGGTGCATTGTAAATTTTTTTTTCTACCCGAAATTCCATATCAATGAAATACAAATGTTTTTTGCAATCTTCGTGCAATAATTTCTTTTTTCTTCTAAGTGTAGATAACTCCTGAGCTAGCGAACTAAACCAAATAGGAGTGAATTTTTTTCTAAGTGTAGGTTACCCCAAATTGTCGAGCTAACGAGTTGGACTCCAAGTAGGGATAACTTCATATTGTTGTACGCCGAGGAGGGCGAACATTGTAGGGTATATACCCGACTTGTCTGCACACGGGTTACTCGCTTAATTGTTGGTTATCCCTTAGTGCTGAGCCATCGGGCCTGACTTCAAATGGGATTAACCTGTTATTCTGTGTCAAGGTGGGCTAGACGTCGTAGGGTTTGTACCCGAACTGTCTATGCCTCAGGCGTGAGAATCGGTCTGCCTATGCCGAAGAGGCGACTAAGACTTGCCTGCCTATGCCGAAGAGGCGACTTGGACTTGTCCACCTATGCCGAAAAGGCGACTAGGACTTGTCTGCCTATGCCGAAGAGGCGATTAGAAGTTGTCTGCCTATGCCGAAGAGGCGATTAGGACTTATCGTAGTGCCGAGGTCTTATGTCATCTTGGCAACATGGCCCTTAGGCTTCTAGGAGTGGCTCGCAGTCCTCTCTCCAGTTCGGTAATCCTTTTTGACTAGTTCGGTAGTCACAAGTAGTATCTTCTCAGGTTGTCGATATTCCATGCTCGAGGTACTTGCTTTCCTTCCAAAGTCTCAAGCTCATACGTGCCTTCCCTAAACACCCGTCTTACTCGGTACGGACCTTCCCAATTCAGTCCGAGCCTAC